GAGGGTTATGTCTCTTTTGTTTATCTTCTCAAAGAACCAGCTCTTAGTTTCATTGATTTCTTTGTATTTTATTGATTTCTGCTCTGGTCTTTATTATGTCCCTTGTTCTACTAACTTGAGGTTTCATTTGTTCTAATTTTTCCAGTTTCTTTAATTGTGAATGTAGACTGCTTATTTGGATTATAGTTTCTTGAGGTAGGCCTGTGTTGCCATGTACTTCACTCTTAGAACTGATTTTGCTTGAGGGCTGCCTTTTCTAATCTTTAAAGTGATGTATACAAATCAAGTCAGTTTTTTTGTTCATTTGTGTCTACACATGAATGTTACCTGGGGGGCCTTCACAGTTAAGCACAGTGGCCTCCCTAAGCCTGCCTCTACTTCTTTATAGCCAGGGCCATCTGCCAGCCACAGTCCTACAGGATTTAGGTCTGCCTTCACTGATAAATTATCTTTCACCCATGCAAAATCCTCTTCCTTCCCCATTACCCAGCTGTAAGCGGCTCAGGAAGAAACACTTCATTCTGATATGATTTGCCAACCCGTGATTCACATTTATGTAATCATAACCAAGATATGGTCCCAGCAAATAGCTATTTAGAGTTTTCCCCAAATTTAATTTATAACTGTAATGATCATCTTCAAATTTTTATTCTGGTGGGTGTTATGAAAAAACAACTATTATTCTAGAGGTTTTATTAATATTAAGCAAAATAGCATTTTGCTGCCAAACAAGTCATTTATTTGGACATTTCAAAGGATAAATGATATTTGCTTTCCTATCTGAAGTTAATTTTGTAATTGACAGATTTTTCTATGTATTTTTTATGGTTTTATTAGCATTTTATAGCATGCTTTATATTTGAGGAAAATGCTTTACACTCATTTTAATTAGTTATTTCTCATATATATCAATTAGTTTTAGTAATGGAAAGAGTAAAGTCAGAAAGATTTTGAAAAGCAAGATGTCACATATGCATACAAATTAAAATGTAATGACTTCCATCTGGGGATTATTACCCAGTCTCACAAGCAGTTATATAGAGAAAAATTGTATGGATGACAAATGGGCCTTGCTAGTTTTCTCATCTCATCCAGAAGAGGGTGAAATGACTCATTCTTTAAAGTTGCTAATGATAATGGACACACCAGGTGACTATAGCAGGTGGGAAGAAGACATAAAGTGAAGCAAGATACAATGCCTGCACATCAGTCGGTGTGGTACTGAAACGGCCACGTAATGCTCAGGAACACAGGCTTCCAGCATCTCTGACCTACATTTGGTACAGATTTTACCACTTACTAGTATGTGACACTTAATTTCCTTTAACCATGCTTTCCCCACTTTCACAATGGAGATATCAGTGCCCATTTTGTAGTGTTTTTAAGGTTTAAAAGACTCTTCTCTAAACTGCTAAGCTTAGTACCCGATCCCTGATCCCTAAATAGTGTTCACTAGCATTATTTATATTAGTCACCCAAAGATTTTTTTCTTGTCCTAGGTCATTAAGATCTCCATTCTTACCCTGACCTTCAACTTTTTTTTACTAAAAGGCTGTGAAACTGAAGTGTTTTTGAATGACAAGTCTATCCTGCAACTTAATTATTATGGGTGAGAATCTAAAATAATTCAATCCTTGATTCATAAAGGGTGATGTATCTCTCTGTTAGAAGGAACTTTTGACCATTATCCTAAACTTTCTTTGCCTCCCAAATGATCCATGTAATCAAACTTGCTCCATTGGGGAGTGCAGACATATTTATAACGTATGTAAATAGATATAGATAGGCGTATGGAAAAACCCCCCAACTTCCCTGCCTCCTAAAGTGCTCAGATGCTTCCTCTTATACCGGGGAGTGCTGTGCAGGGCTCGTGAGGCCCTTCCATGCTTAATGTGAACATGACGGCATTGTCATCAACTTAAGTCAGGTTTCATGTGGATGTCAGATAACCCATTCTTAGTACCTCAAAGTTCTGCTAATTCAGGATTGCTATGCTTTGAAATTCAACCAATTATTAAACACCAGCCTCGAACTAGAAAGAGCAAGAACATATTGTCAGGCTGAAATATATTGCAGGCTGGTCAGTATCACATCAGTGTTTATTTCAATTCTGTTTTTGAATATTTATGCACAGTTCCCAGGCCTTTGAAACAGCTGGACTACCCAATGTCCATGATGTTTCGCCAGGTAAAGCAGATGTATCATAAAAGGTCATCATTTTTCTTTCATGTAATGTCAACAATTATTAGGATAATACATAGAGATGAACCAAACTAGATAAGTAATAATAAATTCAAAAGATATGGATGCGTTTGGTCCACATTTTTTACTTCCTACTTATTGTTCAACTAGACTGTATTTTAAAGTACAGAGAGAATAGATTAATGTCTGTATGTGAATTATTGTTGCAATATAAATTGCAGCAGTCATTAAACTAATGTGTAAAAACAGCATATAATGAGTACCTTAATGTTAACATTAATGCATCAATAGCCAACATTTACTTAATGCGCTGGCATTGTGCTGCTTGCAGTGGAATTTATAGAGTAAATTGCTGTGCAAAAGAGTGTCTTTAAAAACTGAGGGAGATGTTTTCGGGAGCAGGACATTAGGCCTTCTAATTTTCTCCATGATAACCAGTGACCATTCACATGAGTTAGTGTCTGTCACCCAGGCTCACACTAGGCCCTGCCTTACCATTTTTTTTTAGTTCTGGCTGCTGGTGATGTCAGATTTGTCCATGAGCTTACACTCTGTTTGCATTTGGCATCCACTTTCCTGTTACGCTCTTACACGGATTTGCGTGCCCAGCTCAGCCCCCATCTAATTGATTCTCCCAACTTGCCAAATCTCTTTTGGTGTCCAGTCCCTAGCTGGCCCCCAATTTTCATTTTGGTGTGCTCATCTTTACCTTGTTTTGGTGGTTTCATTCTTCTGTGTGACTGTGACATATCAAACTACTAAATAGTTTAGAATTTAAATGGACTTAGACATACCAGTTTGAAAGGTGTAAGCAATATATAAATATTATTAAATTGCATAGCATAAATAATAATTGTTTTAGATATTTAAAGAGGCTGTTGGTATATGTACGCATTTATACACCCTTTACAGATAGCATTTATATATCACAGGCAGGTCCAGTGAGTTCACACACACACACACGCACACACACACACACACACTGTATGGATAAATACCACAGAGTTGGGCACATCTAATATACAGTAGTGGATATATTCTCATAGTGCATGGCTAAAACCTAGTTAAATAAATTACTACTCAAATCATCCACATCTATTCCTCTGCTTTTTTCTCTTGCTCCTATAGAAGTACATTTTCAAATGTGCTTCTGAAAAGTAAGGCTATTAGATTTTATTTTACATTTCTCCTCTCTACAATTTTGCTCTTCTGAGCAGAGACATTAATAAATTATTCTGCCTCACTTCCCTTCCCCAGAATAAGAAATGCCTGAATGCTCTCAAGAGAGGTCTGCAAAAAAATAGGCTTATGGTAGAATTATAAAAAGCTGATGCCTTTAGAATATCTGTGTGAGATCTTGATAAGGAATCTTCAAGGATATTATCACAGAGATTGGAAAAATTAGTGACTTTCCAGTTGTTAAGCCTGTTTTTTTAGTTTGGGCTGCAGTAACAGAATACCATACACTGGGCGGCTTAAACAACTAACCCTGATTCCTGATGGTTCTGGAGGCTGGAATCTGAGATCAGGGTGCCAACGTGTTCAGGCTGCTGAAGGCTCTCCTCCTGGTCCACAGACAGCCCTGTGCTCTGTATCCTCACATGGCAGAGAGAGGAGAGACCCCTTTTCATAAGGGCACTGGTCCCATCACAGGGCCCTTCATGCCTCATCCAACCCTGATCACCTCCCAAAGGCCCTACCGCCGGCCCATTAGACTGGGGAGTAGGGTTTCAACATAGGAATTTTGGGGAGACGATGCATTCAGTCCATAACACTGGGGAAAAGTAACCAATCAAATACTTGAGAAACAAAATTCTGTTGAAGAGAAAAGCGAGAGGAACAGTGTGCCTTGCCCCACTTTGGCGAATATAGAAATCTTTCTACTTGGGTCTCTATATGGGAGATCTCTCGGGCATAACTCTTCCGGGAAAAGTTGCGGGAACTTGAAAACATAGGGATTTTTATACTTTGGCAATTCTTTGGATGGAAACTGCTAGGAACTCTCAAAAAGAAGTCATGTACACTATTCCTAACAGTGATTTATAAACTAGACAGATAAAGTATAGGATATCCATTTAAACTTTAATTTTAAATAAATATTTTTTAGTATAAGTATATCCCATAAAGTATTTTTATTTGCTAAATCTGATACTCCTACAGTGAGTAGTTAATAAATTTATAGGCTATTACATTTTGGAAGTAAACCATTATGGAAATAGAGGATTTCCATAGAAAAAGATGGGGATATACTAGCAAATTAAATATTCCTAACCTAGTAAAGCAGGGATTTTCTTGGGATGCTTTTGAGATAATTGGCCAGGATAGTCAACTGAGAAATACTATAGAATGAGGACACTATGGATAATTACAAAGAAATTTACAAATAGTAATAATCAGCTCGTAATTGACCAGAGAAAATAAATGTGGACATGTTCCTATAAATGCTTATGATAAGTGAATGCATTTCTTCCCAATGAAACCTTCATACACATGAAAGCTTGCAAGCAGTATATTAGTATACTTCTTTGGTATACTAAGTTTTGGTCTAAGCTTAAAATTTCATACTCAGCAAAGTTCTTACAGAAGAGAAAACCTTTTGTCATGGGCCACTGGGTTCATGACCTATAAAAGCTACGTGACACCTGTGAATCACATACACATTATCACTGAATCTTATAAAATTATTACTGTATTTCTAAAGGGTAGTGATTTTTATTAGCATGCTCATCATCATTAATCAGGTTGAAATGTGGAAGAACTTAAAAATACATAGACCAATAAAGAGTTTAATGACTTACTCATTTAAGAGTGTGCAGAGTGTGCTTGAAAGCATTCATCATGGCCCTTGGTTTTGGACATGAATATTTTGGTTCTCAGTGAAAATGAGAGAAAAATATCTTTTATTCTTTCTTTTCAGCTTCTACAGTTGAAAATCAGTCCATGGGCTTGTTATTAATGGTTGGTGATGATATTTTTCAAGTTTCAGATGAAACTGTCTTACGTTTCTGTGACAAAAGGTAGAATTAATATAAAAAAATGAGAGAAGGCTTGAATTAGGGCCAGGACAGTTGTAAAGTGAAGCAACAGCATATATTAAATTTGGTAACTCTGCTCAATCATTTTAGACTATTTCTTGAATTCATATAATCTATTAATAAAATTTCTAACAGTATCTAGTCATAAAATATTAACTAGATAGAATTTGTAGTAATGATTTATTTAAGAACATCACATTTTATTGCTTGAGCTGTGGAACTGTGCACTCACACACAGGCTTGTGATTGTTAAAATTATTCTATGTCCAAAGATCATCATTATTATTATTTAACTCTGGAACCTGGCCACATGCTACACAACATTCTGTATGGAAAATAACACGTGCTTATTGCACTTGAACAGCCTGGATATTGGCTTCTGTTTTTCCTCTTGGTGTCAGTAGCTGCCGTAGTTCCACTAAGAAGCTGAGAAGAATCGTGCCAGCCTGAGAGTGAGTGCTAGTAACTTAAGATCTCGTTCCTAGTTACAAGGCCTTTAGAACCTGTCCTCCGAGTCGCTGTTTCCCCCTGACTGGTCCCACCCTGGCTTGGTTACTGGACTCACCTTTCACGTTCCCCCTATTGCAGCTATTGGACCTGTACCCTAGCATTTAAAACTCAGGAGTTCCTGAATCCATCTGGTTCTCCACCACAGCAGCTCCTACTGAGCCACTGAAGGAGCATCGACACACCTCCCCGGCCTGCCACATCTGTTCTCTGTGAATTTAGTCCAAATCAACTATTCACCCTGGGGGTGTGTCACAGGGATTAGACGCCAGATATATGGAATGTGCCATGCAGTGCTGAAGATTGTCTTTAAGAATAATTATGAGCCAAGTTTTAGCTTCAGTGTTTTGTCCACCTGTCCTTTTGGCACCTCCCTAGCCACCCAGGAGCCTAGGACTTAAGTGGCTTCCAGGACCTTTCATGAAAGAAACTTTTCTCACTTCCTTTCTGATTTGCATTTTTTGGTAATATTTGTTAGTTACCCAGATAAATGAACTGGTTTTAATGTGAGGAAAATGCTTTGTAGTTTGATGTTTTATCCTAATTGGAGATACATACTTTCAAGTGGTAGCACACACAGGTCGGGGTGAAGCTCCCCCAGTGAGGCATTCCAGGCTGCTGCTCACGTTCTGGGGCAGATGTGTGAGTCAGCCTGGAGGAAACTCAGGTGCACAGGCCGGGAAGGCCAGGAAGAGATAAAATCACCTGGAAGGGACTCACAGAGGCCCTCCGTCCTCCGTTCTCCAAGTCAATGCCCTTGCCTCCGACTTTACAGGGTAAACATAAGACTCCAAAGAGCTATACCCTGATTTTCTAACACCAGATCTACAGATTGACCTCTTTTCATGTATGTATGTTTGTTCTATTCCTTGGACATAATGTCATCTAAGATCAGTCTCCCCCACTGTGCTGCACCTTCAGCTTCTCCCTGCCCACTGGCTTCTTGTCCCTGGAACATTCTAAAGCCGGTCTGACCTAACCCTCCCTCAGCCTCATGCTCCCTTCCGACTGCTCGTCACTCTTCTACTTCGGAGGCAACGTTCTTGAATGAGGTATGAATAATGGCCAGTCTACTAAAATCTGACATTTTCCCCACTGTCCGTTTGTTAAGTCCAATATGCAGCTACTCATTGCATGTGGCTATTTATGCTAATTGAATTTTTAAAAACGAACAAATCAGTTCCTCAGCTTCACTACTACATTTTAGGTGCTCAATGCCCACAGGTGGCTATCCTATTGGACAGTGCAAACATAAAATATTTCTATCAGCTCGAAATACTGTATCATATTGCTTCTTAGAAACTCTTCTACTTTAAGACACCAGACGTTCATGTTGCTAACCTAATGTACATTTTTGAGTTCTACTTGGTCTGTTAGCAGGATTCATCAGTGTTGACCATTCTCTGCTTTTCAAAACACATCCTTTCCTCAGCTTCTCTGACACCCTTGTATCCGTGCATGCCTCATTTTATTGCACTTCACAGTGTGTTTATTTACCAAGTGAAGGTTTGTAGCAACCCTGCGTCCAACAAGTCTGTTGGCACCATTTTCCACCAGCACAAGCTCACTTCATGTTTCTGTCACATGTTGGTAATTCTTATACTATTTCAAGCATTTTCATTATTATATGTGTCATGGTGACCTGTGATCAGTGATCCTTGCTCTTATTGTAATTGTTTTGGGATGCCACGAACTTCACCCATTTAAGATGGCAAACTTAATTGATAAATGGGTGTGTTCTGACTGCTCTACCAACTGGCCCTTTCTCTCCTTGTCTTCCTGTCTCTCTCCCTCTCTCTCTCCCCTTCTCCCCTTCTCCCCTCCTCCCCCTCCCCCTCCCCTTCTCCCTAGGCTTCCCTATGAACTGAGACACTGAGTAATATAGTTGTTTGGCCAATTAATAACCCTACAATAGTCTCTAAGTATTCAAGTGAAAGGAAGAGTGACACATCGTTCACTTTTAATCCAAAGGTGTGATTTAGCCTAGTGAGGAAGGCACTTCAAAAGCCAAGACAGACCAAAAGCTAGGTCTCTTGTACCAAACAGTTATTCACATTGTGAATGCAAAGGAAAGGTTCTTGAAAGAAATTAAAATGTCCCAGAGAACACATGAATGATAAAGTCAAACAACCTTATTGCTGATATGGAGAAAGTTTTCGTGGTCTAGATAGGAGATCAAACCAACCACAGCATTTCCTTAAGCAAAGCCTAATTGAGAGCTTGGCTTTACTCTCTCATTCTGAGAAGGCTGGGAGAGGTGAGGGAGCTGCAGAAGAGGAGTTGGAAGCGAGCAGAGCCTGGTTCATGACACTTAAGGAGGGAAGCCATCTCTGTAACACGAAAGCACAAGGTGAAGCAGCAGGTGCCAATGGAGAAGCTGCAGCAAGTCATTCAGAAGCTCCAGCTCAGGTCATTACCAAAGGTGCTGCACCAAACAACAGATTTTCAATGGAGATGAAACAGCCTTCTGGAAGAAGATGCCACCTAGGACTGTCATAGCTGGAGAGAAGTCCGTGCCTGGTTTCAAAGGACAGGCTGCCTCTCTTGTGAGGGGCTAATGCTGCTGGTGACTAAACCGAAGCCAGTGCTCACTGACCACGCTGAAAATCTTAGGGCCTTTAAGAATTACGTTAAATCTATTCTGCCTGTGCTCTGTAAGGGGAGCAACAAAGCTTGGGTGACAGAAAATATGTGGATAACATGGTTTACTGAGTATTATTTCAAGCCCACTGCTCAGAGAAAAGATTCCTTTCAAAATATTACTGCTCATTGACAATCCAAAATCCAAGAGCTGACATGGATAATGAGATTAATGTTGTTTTCTTCCCTGTTAATACAACATCCCTTCTGTAGCCCATGGATCAGGGAGTAATTTCAACTTTCAAGTTTTATTACTTAAGTTAAGAAATACTTTTCATAAGGCTAGAGCTGTGATAGATGTCATCACAGATGACTGTGATATCCTCTGATGGACCTGGGCAAAGTTAGTTGAAAAACTTCTGGAAAGCGTTCAGTATTCTAGATGCCATTCAGAACATACATGATTCATGGGAAGAAGTCAAAATACCAACATGAACAGGAGTTTAGAGAAGTTGATTCCAACCCTCATGGATGACTCCAAGGACTTTAAGACTTCAGTGGAGAAAGTCACTGCAGATGTGGTGGAAACAACCAGGGAACCAGAAGTGGAGGCTGAAGATGTGACTGAATGGCTGCATCACATGATAAAACTTAGGGGGTGAGTCGTTGCTTCCTATGGGTGTGCAAAGGAAATGGTTTTTTGATTTGGAATTCACTCCTGGTGATGTGCTGTGAATATTGTTGGAATGACAAGAAAGCATTTAGAATATTCAGTAAACTTAGTTTATAAAGCAGGAGCAGAGTTTGAAAAGGCTGAGTCCAATTTTGAGAAAGTTCTACTAAGGGGTAAATGCTATCAAACAGCAGCACATGCTACAAAGAAATCATTCATGAAAGGAGTAGTCAGTACATGTGGTCAACGTCATTTGCCTTATTTTAAGCAATTGCATCAGCTGTCCCAACCTTCAGCAACCCCCACCCTGATCAGTCAGCAGCCATCAACATGGAGGCAAGACCCTCCACCAGCAAAAAGATTATGGCTTGCTGAAAAATCAGATCATAGTTAGCATTTTGTAGCAATAAAGTACTTTTTAATTAAGGTATGCACATTGTACAATAGCATTATGTCCAGAAAACACTTAAGAGACTACAGTAAAATGTAATTGTAACTTTTATACGCACTGGGATACCAAAAAGTGCATCAGCCTCACTTGGCCGAGCTACCCGCTTTGTTGAGGAGGTCTGCGACCAAACCTGCCCTGTCTCCAAGGCGCGCCTGCCGACTTCCTCCTGCCTCTCAGCAACTCTCTGTCTCCTCCGGCTCTTCTCCCTTGGATTCTAGTCCTTAAATTTCCATTTATATGTTGAGAAATTCCAAATCTATTTTCTCTTTTTTGACTAGAGTTTCACGGTTCAAACATCTCTAAAATCTAATGGGAATTTTTGACCCCTTCTCCCAAACTTACTGTCTGTCTTCTTACCCCCGGTCTTCCCCAGGTCAGTCAGTAGCACCACCCTGCATTCAGTCACGGGATAAAAACCTGGTCTCACCCTGCGGTCACGCCCGCACGTAAGCAGTCTCCCTGTGAAGCCAATCTTAAAGTCACTGCAGTGACCCATTATTAATTGTCAGCTTTTCTGATCTCTCCCATTTTTTATCCACATTTAATCCAAAGCTGTTTTCAATAATCAGTTGATCATATTCCTCCTTTGACTTGAATCCTTTCAACAGATTACCATTGTTTTTAAAAATAAAAATGAACACCTCGACATTTCCTTCCCACACAGTCCGTGCTTGCACGCGCCGTCCTGCAGCTCCTCTAGAGCACCACACTCTCTCTCAGCCCAGATCGTCCACCACTGTTACCTTACCTGGGGTATCAGCACCTTGCACCCACGCACGCCCTCAGTTTATTCAACGGTTTCTCCGGGGCCTTCCCTGACCACATCCCTAGTTGGTTCAAATCTCCCTGCTCAAAGCTCTCCCAGTACTCTCTTTGCCTTTTTTATAATTTGTTCAGTATTTGGCCATGATGGTAAATATCAAATCAGTTTTGGAATGAAAACATAAGAGGAATGGACATTAGGGAGAGGATGGAGAGAAAAGGAAACATGAATGAAATACAATCTTTAGTATAGCAGAATACAAAATAAGCAAGTCCAGTTTTAAAAACAGCCTTGGATCATTGTTAAAATATTGACCATGAAAAAGTACTGAAGAGAAACACTTACAATCTTTGCCAAGTTGAAGCAACTGTCGGCTGTGCCTTGGTTCAGTTTCTGCGCGTACCAGGATATCCAGGGCCTGTAGATCACACGGAGAAAGCGTTACGTGGATACACTGCATTCAAGACCCAAGGCACCTGGATTAGGGTTTGTGTGGCCTCATCAATAGTAATTATGAGAACGTTACCGTAAGAAGCAGAGGACCAGAGCAATATTTTCTCTTTGATTTTTCAAATCTCTCTAGCCAAAGACTATACTACCTGACCACAGCACTGTGAACATGTATTTTGATGATCACTGGAGGAAATGATTTGTGTTTATTTTCAAAAAGTGCCTTTCTCCTTTTTTTTTCAGTCTTTGCTGTTGTTTCTCCTGGGCTCTTGTTCTCTGTGCTGTGTGTTGATATTGAAAGCACTCACATGACAAAACCTCTTTCTTACTAAAGACAAGGTCTTATTTCAAACTGAGAAAATAATTAGAAACCTGACAGGAATTCCTTTGGGTACAATAGTGTTTGTAATGAGAAAATTGTACATCATTGAAGTCAAAGGGCTTGGCCTTGGGAGCAGAGAGACGCTCAGTTTTGGTTCCTAGGGCTGAGCCCAGCCGCTTATCACAACTCTCCTGGACGATGGTTGTTCCTTTTCCTGCCCACATATGCCAATCAGTGTCTCTCTGATGTTTTGCTTCAATGCTTATTAGGTAAATCCTGAAGCAGATACCCATTTCATTATGTCTGGAAAAAATCCAGATACAGGTGCATGAATTAAATCACTCACTTGTGCATCACTTCAAGCATGAAGTTCAAACTCATTGGAAGCCACAAATTATATGCTTCAGAGACTTCTGCAATTTCAGAGAGGACTGAATTTGAGGGCTGGAGAAAGAAAGGACATACAAGTGTTAAGCTCGCTTCTGTCTGCTGGCATCTTGCTGATAGTTTAGTTGGCATCTCAAGGATAATTCTAAAGGTCAGAGGAAAACGCAGGGGAAATAGTGCTGTGACTCATTCCCACCTCTTGTTTGTATAACAAGGAAAAATAAATTAGAATCAGGAGTACAGAGCTTCTTGTAATAATAATTAACAATTCTTAGTCCTGGAACACTTCTGTTACTGGAATATACTACAATATATTCAAAAATAGAAGGTACCCTTTTTCAAAGGGGAGAACTGCATTTCATCAATAATAAGTATCTGTTAGTAGCTGCAGTCCTATTCATTCACCAGCATCCAGTACCGTCTGAGTGATGGAAATGTGAATTCTTAACAGAATTATTTCAGTAACCTATTTGGTGTAGTTCCTATCATGAACAATAGCAAAACAATAAATAATAAGCTTGTAAATGTTGTAGCTTGATGTATTTGTATAACCATGAGATTTTTAAGCAGTTCAGTTTTCTCTACCCTAGGTCATTTGTTAGGGCAAGACGAGCCATTATTGAAGAGACACATACGACCTTTACTAGCATATGATTCACTGATTTCCAGATAGAGCTAGTTAGGAACTACTACAGGTAAGAAAAGACGAAGACTGTCTTTTTTTATATGCTTCTGGATCTTCCTGTACCTTATAATTCTAAAGGAAAATAAATTTGGCTGCTAAGAGATCAGTAGGTATGCCGCCAGAACACACTGTTCAGTCCTTACAGCGTGCTTCCTGTTGGGGGCGCCCTCACCCTGCTCTCTCGGTGGGGGATGCACGTCATGAAATCAACCGCTGCGGGACACCTCCCCTTGCGGCTCTATGCAATGACATCAGTGTTTGGGTCCGAGCTGTAAGGACCGGGTCAAAGAGGAAAGCATTCTTGCCCAGCACTTTATGCTTTCACTGCTCTCTTTAATCTGTTGGGGACGCTGGGAGAATCTGCTTGATTGGTTATATGTATTTTACGCTTTCTCATTTGAAATGAGAATTTCTCATTTCAGTTTCTCGTTTCTTCTCTTTCTCACACACACACCCCAAGTAGGATAGGAGCAGTAGTACTTAAAGGGATACTTGTTAGAGAGACGGTTGTGGGGGGTGAGGATTCTCACCGAACCGAATGGACCCAGAGCCCTGGCGTGCGAAGAGGGCAAAGGAGGCCGGCGTAGGAAGGCGGTGGCTTCCGCCTGTCTTTCCTTCTCCTTCCCTCTTCATCCTTCCTCAGACTTGTTCAGCATCTACTCAGGACCGGATACTGAAAGGGGAATACAGATAAATGAAATGACTTTTAAAAAATATCTTAACCATATAGTAAGAAAGTAAGACTTGGACATAATTAACCTTGCATATTTCAGGAAGAGAAAAAAAAATGGGGAGCAGGGGATAAGTATAATTGTGACTTTATATTTCATACGTTTACATAAAACCTGACAAGGAAACAGTGACACATGAAGGAACATTTTCTGGATTGTCATAAAAGAGGAGAGGAGGTCTGAGTGTAAAGAGAAGAATGCAGTTTAGAAAAGAAAGGATTTGAGGACTACCTCCTCTCGGCCTCTGTATAGAGAGTAGCGGCTGGTGCCTTTGTAATAGGTCTGGCCCAAGATAGAGTAAAAAACAAACACTGTTTTCAAGCAAAAAGTATTTCTTTAAATAACTTTTGGGCTTCCTGTGTAGGTGGTTGATCAGATAGTCCTATTATAGGACTAGTGGTAAAGTAAGTAAAACCAGTCCTGAAGACAGAGGGCTGCAGGGTGGTGACTAGTGTGTGGGGACTTAATTACTTTGCACAGCAATATTAAGCACTGTACCATGAGTGTAAGGGTCTGGGAAAATTTTCCATAGAGAAAAATTTTTTTCTTGATATACAGACACATTTTCATATCATTTGTTCATTTAACAAATAATTATTGTGCATCTAATCATTGGTAGCCATTATTGTAAGACCTGGGGACACACCCATGAACAGAACAGTTCTTTGTGAGGTTTACATTCTACCCCTTTAGCAAAGGGCAGTGGAGGCAGTGATGACTGGCAGAATGGAATGAGGCTGCTGGCTGCTTGAGGTGACTGACTAGTCAGGGGGGTTTTTGCAGGCTGGGCCCTGCCTGGGAGTCAATATGTAGCCACTCCAGTATCCCCATGTAAAGTATTTTTTTATGCTGTGAAAAGCTGTGGTCTAGACCACACTGTGGTCTGTGTGCATGCATACACATGCATGCATATACTTGAACTTGAAGCTACCTTTAACTTTTGTGGATTGGAAACTGAGTACAGAGGCCAACATACCTATGTGCCATGTCTGCACATCTGAAATAATACATGAAGTCATTAAGCTGTTAAATAAAGTCCGTTTGTTAAGTCCAATATGCAGCTACTCATTGCATGTGGCTATTTATGCTAATTGAATTTTTAAAAACGAACAAATCAGTTCCTCAGCTTCACTACTACATTTTAGGTGCTCAATGCCCACAGGTGGCTATCCTATTGGACAGTGCAAACATAAAATATTTCTATCAGCTCGAAATACTGTATCATATTGCTTCTTAGAAACTCTTCTACTTTAAGACACCAGACGTTCATGTTGCTAACCTAATGTACATTTTTGAGTTCTACTTGGTCTGTTAGCAGGATTCATCAGTGTTGACCATTCTCTGCTTTTCAAAACACATCCTTTCCTCAGCTTCTCTGACACCCTTGTATCCGTGCATGCCTCATTTTATTGCACTTCACAGTGTGTTTATTTACCAAGTGAAGGTTTGTAGCAACCCTGCGTCCAACAAGTCTGTTGGCACCATTTTCCACCAGCACAAGCTCACTTCATGTTTCTGTCACATGTTGGTAATTCTTATACTATTTCAAGCATTTTCATTATTATATGTGTCATGGTGACCTGTGATCAGTGATCCTTGCTCTTATTGTAATTGTTTTGGGATGCCACGAACTTCACCCATTTAAGATGGCAAACTTAATTGATAAATGGGTGTGTTCTGACTGCTCTACCAACTGGCCCTTTCTCTCCTTGTCTTCCTGTCTCTCTCCCTCTCTCTCTCCCCTTCTCCCCTTCTCCCCTCCTCCCCCTCCCCCTCCCCTTCTCCCTAGGCTTCCCTATGAACTGAGACACTGAGTAATATAGTTGTTTGGCCAATTAATAACCCTACAATAGTCTCTAAGTATTCAAGTGAAAGGAAGAGTGACACATCGTTCACTTTTAATCCAAAGGTGTGATTTAGCCTAGTGAGGAAGGCACTTCAAAAGCCAAGACAGACCAAAAGCTAGGTCTCTTGTACCAAACAGTTATTCACATTGTGAATGCAAAGGAAAGGTTCTTGAAAGAAATTAAAATGTCCCAGAGAACACATGAATGATAAAGTCAAACAACCTTATTGCTGATATGGAGAAAGTTTTCGTGGTCTAGATAGGAGATCAAACCAACCACAGCATTTCCTTAAGCAAAGCCTAATTGAGAGCTTGGCTTTACTCTCTCATTCTGAGAAGGCTGGGAGAGGTGAGGGAGCTGCAGAAGAGGAGTTGGAAGCGAGCAGAGCCTGGTTCATGACACTTAAGGAGGGAAGCCATCTCTGTAACACGAAAGCACAAGGTGAAGCAGCAGGTGCCAATGGAGAAGCTGCAGCAAGTCATTCAGAAGCTCCAGCTCAGGTCATTACCAAAGGTGCTGCACCAAACAACAGATTTTCAATGGAGATGAAACAGCCTTCTGGAAGAAGATGCCACCTAGGACTGTCATAGCTGGAGAGAAGTCCGTGCCTGGTTTCAAAGGACAGGCTGCCTCTCTTGTGAGGGGCTAATGCTGCTGGTGACTAAACCGAAGCCAGTGCTCACTGACCACGCTGAAAATCTTAGGGCCTTTAAGAATTACGTTAAATCTATTCTGCCTGTGCTCTGTAAGGGGAGCAACAAAGCTTGGGTGACAGAAAATATGTGGATAACATGGTTTACTGAGTATTATTTCAAGCCCACTGCTCAGAGAAAAGATTCCTTTCAAAATATTACTGCTCATTGACAATCCAAAATCCAAGAGCTGACATGGATAATGAGATTAATGTTGTTTTCTTCCCTGTTAATACAACATCCCTTCTGTAGCCCATGGATCAGGGAGTAATTTCAACTTTCAAGTTTTATTACTTAAGTTAAGAAATACTTTTCATAAGGCTAGAGCTGTGATAGATGTCATCACAGATGACTGTGATATCCTCTGATGGACCTGGGCAAAGTTAGTTGAAAAACTTCTGGAAAGCGTTCAGTATTCTAGATGCCATTCAGAACATACATGATTCATGGGAAGAAGTCAAAATACCAACATGAACAGGAGTTTAGAGAAGTTGATTCCAACCCTCATGGATGACTCCAAGGACTTTAAGACTTCAGTGGAGAAAGTCACTGCAGATGTGGTGGAAACAACCAGGGAACCAGAAGTGGAGGCTGAAGATGTGACTGAATGGCTGCATCACATGATAAAACTTAGGGGGTGAGTCGTTGCTTCCTATGGGTGTGCAAAGGAAATGGTTTTTTGATTTGGAATTCACTCCTGGTGATGTGCTGTGAATATTGTTGGAATGACAAGAAAGCATTTAGAATATTCAGTAAACTTAGTTTATAAAGCAGGAGCAGAGTTTGAAAAGGCTGAGTCCAATTTTGAGAAAGTTCTACTAAGGGGTAAATGCTATCAAACAGCAGCACATGCTACAAAGAAATCATTCATGAAAGGAGTAGTCAGTACATGTGGTCAACGTCATTTGCCTTATTTTAAGCAATTGCATCAGCTGTCCCAACCTTCAGCAACCCCCACCCTGATCAGTCAGCAGCCATCAACATGGAGGCAAGACCCTCCACCAGCAAAAAGATTATGGCTTGCTGAAAAATCAGATCATAGTTAGCATTTTGTAGCAATAAAGTACTTTTTAATTAAGGTATGCACATTGTACAATAGCATTATGTCCAGAAAACACTTAAGAGACTACAGTAAAATGTAATTGTAACTTTTATACGCACTGGGATACCAAAAAGTGCATCAGCCTCACTTGGCCGAGCTACCCGCTTTGTTGAGGAGGTCTGCGACCAAACCTGCCCTGTCTCCAAGGCGCGCCTGCCGACTTCCTCCTGCCTCTCAGCAACTCTCTGTCTCCTCCGGCTCTTCTCCCTTGGATTCTAGTCCTTAAATTTCCATTTATATGTTGAGAAATTCCAAATCTATTTTCTCTTTTTTGACTAGAGTTTCACGGTTCAAACATCTCTAAAATCTAATGGGAATTTTTGACCCCTTCTCCCAAACTTACTGTCTGTCTTCTTACCCCCGGTCTTCCCCAGGTCAGTCAGTAGCACCACCCTGCATTCAGTCACGGGATAAAAACCTGGTCTCACCCTGCGGTCACGCCCGCACGTAAGCAGTCTCCCTGTGAAGCCAATCTTAAAGTCACTGCAGTGACCCATTATTAATTGTCAGCTTTTCTGATCTCTCCCATTTTTTATCCACATTTAATCCAAAGCTGTTTTCAATAATCAGTTGATCATATTCCTCCTTTGACTTGAATCCTTTCAACAGATTACCATTGTTTTTAAAAATAAAAATGAACACCTCGACATTTCCTTCCCACACAGTCCGTGCTTGCACGCGCCGTCCTGCAGCTCCTCTAGAGCACCACACTCTCTCTCAGCCCAGATCGTCCACCACTGTTACCTTACCTGGGGTATCAGCACCTTGCACCCACGCACGCCCTCAGTTTATTCAACGGTTTCTCCGGGGCCTTCCCTGACCACATCCCTAGTTGGTTCAAATCTCCCTGCTCAAAGCTCTCCCAGTACTCTCTTTGCCTTTTTTATAATTTGTTCAGTATTTGGCCATGATGGTAAATATCAAATCAGTTTTGGAATGAAAACATAAGAGGAATGGACATTAGGGAGAGGATGGAGAGAAAAGGAAACATGAATGAAATACAATCTTTAGTATAGCAGAATACAAAATAAGCAAGTCCAGTTTTAAAAACAGCCTTGGATCATTGTTAAAATATTGACCATGAAAAAGTACTGAAGAGAAACACTTACAATCTTTGCCAAGTTGAAGCAACTGTCGGCTGTGCCTTGGTTCAGTTTCTGCGCGTACCAGGATATCCAGGGCCTGTAGATCACACGGAGAAAGCGTTACGTGGATACACTGCATTCAAGACCCAAGGCACCTGGATTAGGGTTTGTGTGGCCTCATCAATAGTAATTATGAGAACGTTACCGTAAGAAGCAGAGGACCAGAGCAATATTTTCTCTTTGATTTTTCAAATCTCTCTAGCCAAAGACTATACTACCTGACCACAGCACTGTGAACATGTATTTTGATGATCACTGGAGGAAATGATTTGTGTTTATTTTCAAAAAGTGCCTTTCTCCTTTTTTTTTCAGTCTTTGCTGTTGTTTCTCCTGGGCTCTTGTTCTCTGTGCTGTGTGTTGATATTGAAAGCACTCACATGACAAAACCTCTTTCTTACTAAAGACAAGGTCTTATTTCAAACTGAGAAAATAATTAGAAACCTGACAGGAATTCCTTTGGGTACAATAGTGTTTGTAATGAGAAAATTGTACATCATTGAAGTCAAAGGGCTTGGCCTTGGGAGCAGAGAGACGCTCAGTTTTGGTTCCTAGGGCTGAGCCCAGCCGCTTATCACAACTCTCCTGGACGATGGTTGTTCCTTTTCCTGCCCACATATGCCAATCAGTGTCTCTCTGATGTTTTGCTTCAATGCTTATTAGGTAAATCCTGAAGCAGATACCCATTTCATTATGTCTGGAAAAAATCCAGATACAGGTGCATGAATTAAATCACTCACTTGTGCATCACTTCAAGCATGAAGTTCAAACTCATTGGAAGCCACAAATTATATGCTTCAGAGACTTCTGCAATTTCAGAGAGGACTGAATTTGAGGGCTGGAGAAAGAAAGGACATACAAGTGTTAAGCTCGCTTCTGTCTGCTGGCATCTTGCTGATAGTTTAGTTGGCATCTCAAGGATAATTCTAAAGGTCAGAGGAAAACGCAGGGGAAATAGTGCTGTGACTCATTCCCACCTCTTGTTTGTATAACAAGGAAAAATAAATTAGAATCAGGAGTACAGAGCTTCTTGTAATAATAATTAACAATTCTTAGTCCTGGAACACTTCTGTTACTGGAATATACTACAATATATTCAAAAATAGAAGGTACCCTTTTTCAAAGGGGAGAACTGCATTTCATCAATAATAAGTATCTGTTAGTAGCTGCAGTCCTATTCATTCACCAGCATCCAGTACCGTCTGAGTGATGGAAATGTGAATTCTTAACAGAATTATTTCAGTAACCTATTTGGTGTAGTTCCTATCATGAACAATAGCAAAACAATAAATAATAAGCTTGTAAATGTTGTAGCTTGATGTATTTGTATAACCATGAGATTTTTAAGCAGTTCAGTTTTCTCTACCCTAGGTCATTTGTTAGGGCAAGACGAGCCATTATTGAAGAGACACATACGACCTTTACTAGCATATGATTCACTGATTTCCAGATAGAGCTAGTTAGGAACTACTACAGGTAAGAAAAGACGAAGACTGTCTTTTTTTATATGCTTCTGGATCTTCCTGTACCTTATAATTCTAAAGGAAAATAAATTTGGCTGCTAAGAGATCAGTAGGTATGCCGCCAGAACACACTGTTCAGTCCTTACAGCGTGCTTCCTGTTGGGGGCGCCCTCACCCTGCTCTCTCGGTGGGGGATGCACGTCATGAAATCAACCGCTGCGGGACACCTCCCCTTGCGGCTCTATGCAATGACATCAGTGTTTGGGTCCGAGCTGTAAGGACCGGGTCAAAGAGGAAAGCATTCTTGCCCAGCACTTTATGCTTTCACTGCTCTCTTTAATCTGTTGGGGACGCTGGGAGAATCTGCTTGATTGGTTATATGTATTTTACGCTTTCTCATTTGAAATGAGAATTTCTCATTTCAGTTTCTCGTTTCTTCTCTTTCTCACACACACACCCCAAGTAGGATAGGAGCAGTAGTACTTAAAGGGATACTTGTTAGAGAGACGGTTGTGGGGGGTGAGGATTCTCACCGAACCGAATGGACCCAGAGCCCTGGCGTGCGAAGAGGGCAAAGGAGGCCGGCGTAGGAAGGCGGTGGCTTCCGCCTGTCTTTCCTTCTCCTTCCCTCTTCATCCTTCCTCAGACTTGTTCAGCATCTACTCAGGACCGGATACTGAAAGGGGAATACAGATAAATGAAATGACTTTTAAAAAATATCTTAACCATATAGTAAGAAAGTAAGACTTGGACATAATTAACCTTGCATATTTCAGGAAGAGAAAAAAAAATGGGGAGCAGGGGATAAGTATAATTGTGACTTTATATTTCATACGTTTACATAAAACCTGACAAGGAAACAGTGACACATGAAGGAACATTTTCTGGATTGTCATAAAAGAGGAGAGGAGGTCTGAGTGTAAAGAGAAGAATGCAGTTTAGAAAAGAAAGGATTTGAGGACTACCTCCTCTCGGCCTCTGTATAGAGAGTAGCGGCTGGTGCCTTTGTAATAGGTCTGGCCCAAGATAGAGTAAAAAACAAACACTGTTTTCAAGCAAAAAGTATTTCTTTAAATAACTTTTGGGCTTCCTGTGTAGGTGGTTGATCAGATAGTCCTATTATAGGACTAGTGGTAAAGTAAGTAAAACCAGTCCTGAAGACAGAGGGCTGCAGGGTGGTGACTAGTGTGTGGGGACTTAATTACTTTGCACAGCAATATTAAGCACTGTACCATGAGTGTAAGGGTCTGGGAAAATTTTCCATAGAGAAAAATTTTTTTCTTGATATACAGACACATTTTCATATCATTTGTTCATTTAACAAATAATTATTGTGCATCTAATCATTGGTAGCCATTATTGTAAGACCTGGGGACACACCCATGAACAGAACAGTTCTTTGTGAGGTTTACATTCTACCCCTTTAGCAAAGGGCAGTGGAGGCAGTGATGACTGGCAGAATGGAATGAGGCTGCTGGCTGCTTGAGGTGACTGACTAGTCAGGGGGGTTTTTGCAGGCTGGGCCCTGCCTGGGAGTCAATATGTAGCCACTCCAGTATCCCCATGTAAAGTATTTTTTTATGCTGTGAAAAGCTGTGGTCTAGACCACACTGTGGTCTGTGTGCATGCATACACATGCATGCATATACTTGAACTTGAAGCTACCTTTAACTTTTGTGGATTGGAAACTGAGTACAGAGGCCAACATACCTATGTGCCATGTCTGCACATCTGAAATAATACATGAAGTCATTAAGCTGTTAAATAAAATAATGTCCTATCTTCACAGCTTGACAAATAAAACTTCCTAGAATCTGGTCATTCAGGTGTCTAAAACTTGGCAGGATAAGAAAGCCACTCTTGACCCACAGCCTGCAGCCCACTCCTCCCCCCCCCCCCACCTCTGGGGTACCACCAGAGTCTCACTGGAATGTCGTATGTAGATGCAGTGGCCACGATTCTTAGCTCTGTCCACAGCCCTCTGGTTCATTCCTCTCTTTTCTCTCCCTTTTCTTCTCAAAAAGCCACCCTTTGGCAACACCTTGAACCTAAAGCTGTATAAACTGGCCACCTGATTTTTGACTACAGCAGGACAGATTCAGAGAAGCCGTGCAAATCCTAGAACAGGCTTAGGGACTATTTGTCCAAGAAATCCCCAAAGCTAAGTGTGGCCTCTCAAGCTCCTTAGCGCCGGGGAGCTGCGCAGGGGAGCAGGGCCAGGGTGGAGACACAGCGCCGTCCAGGGCACTACCCGCTGCTGCCACACTCTGAGGAGAGTACTGACCTGTGCACCTGCTGGGTTACAGGGAAGCCCCCGCATGCAATTCACGCTTGTGGGGAACGTTGGAGGGTCTGTGTTGGAGCACTGGGACTACCCTAGATTCCTCTCCTGCGCTTTCTGATACCTACCTCATCAACCCTCTCGCTCTCCCAACAAATCTCTCATTACTCTTGATAGGGCAACTGTTAACTTGGGAAACAGACCGCTGAGATCTTAAGGCAAGACAACTCCAGCATTGAACAGGGTGTGTGACCCTTTAAAGAGCATGGGATGGAGAAGTGCATTTTAGAAGCTGCCAGAAAATACTTCCTCAGAGGCAGGCAGACGTGAGAACTGAGAAAACCTGTGTCAACATGGGTTGACTTCTTGTACCAGGAATTATTTCTCCAGGAAGATAAAGATGTAAACCAATACATTATCACTGCAGGAAAATGCTGCATATCAAGTTTGACACAAACATCTTGCTCACCAGGAAGAATGCTTGCGTAGCAGTCACGAATTGTCTTAGGAGCCTCACCTCATTGGGGTCCACTCATCTTAATCTACTATATCATGAACTTGACACAGTCTCAACCAAATTCTCCTGCTCAAAGAACTGCCTTTTACCATTTGAGCCCAGATTTCCAAATACTGGGAGTACCCCCAACATTTTCCTTCTGAGATCCTACTTTCAATAGCTTGATCGATATAGATTTTCCTTTGTCTTTCAGGCGGTCAACACTGACGGATCTGGGGCTGAGCAGCTAGCTCGGCAAGGACCTGCAGTGTGTTCGCAGGAGAGCTCACATAAGGAGCGTTTCTCTCGCAACACTCCAGCACTTCCAGTAAGCACTTACAATCCTTTTTTCTCTTGTTTTAGTCCCTTAAATTTGGCTAGTTCTGAAGTAGAGTCTGATATTTCCAGGAAATATATCACAGTATTTGTGTGCACAATAAAGGAGTAGTAAAGTTATAAGAAAACCAGGACTTATTCTTCACTTACCCCACTGCTGGTAAAGCGTGCGAAAGCAGATGTATGTGGAGAGATTACATCCAGCACATGCGGAACTGACCAGTATCAGGACAAGGCAGCCTGAGTGGCAGCTGGGAGTAGCAGGGAGAAACAGCCACTGGCTGTTGACTCAGATGTGGACCTGGACCTGTGAACTCTACTTTTACCCCCACCCCTCCACTGCATAGGGTAGGAGAAGGTGAGAGGCTGATGTGTGCGCTCACACAAAGCTTTCTAAGATAACGTCATCTTGAGTTCACTACAATTTATATTTTATATTCATAAAATAAAACTGAGACTCTCTAAAGAGTTGAGATGAAAAACAGCTTTTCGATTACTGTAACTGGGCAAATATTTAAAATTTTAAAAAGATTGAAATAATACTAAGCAATTATTTATTGAATCTCAGAGACTTATTTAGACTCCTTGAGATGACTGGGTCAGTAGCTTTTCAGAGTAGAAAGTTAGGTGGATTACAGTACATTGTTTTGCAAAGTAAACAAAATGTTGTTATGTTTGGGGAACAAGCTCAGTCTTTTGTTCCATGCTTTTCCCAAGTCTATAAACTCTCCCGACCTTTCCCACTGTGGGTCAGGGGAAGATAGAATTTTTATATTCCTCACATGGAGCCATGTCAGCAGGTTAGGTTTTCATGTGTTTAACCAAATTGGTAGCACATTGTCCCTTCCCTCTAAGTTTACCATAGTTGTTTCTACTCTGTTACTCTGGCAGATGGCCAGGAACCTGGAAAAGTCCATCTGTCCTTCTCCTAGTCTCTCCCTTTTACATTTATTGTCTTTGATGCTAGACGGTTAAACTTAAGAAATAATAAAGGAAGCACATATTCAGGCATATAACCAAGACAAGAAAAGGAAGAGACTGCACAACAGTTTCCACAAGGACATACTTGGAAAGTACTCCAGGTCACAGAAACAAAATGTACAAGGTCACACAGCCAGTAGAGTGTCACCTCAGGACTTTCAACTCTAATTCATGTCTCATTCCCAAGTCTCTCTCTCTCTCTTCCTCCCTTAAGCTGTTGGGAAACCTGTAGTATGGTTTTGCTAAGGGAAGGATGCAATTTTGACTTCTAGCAAGAACTTCAGCATAGATTCACAGTTGCACTGCAGTGATACACGGGGCTGAAGAGAATTTTAGACAGTCTGAGGTGACAAGATTTGCCTGAGTTACTGTTACTGGCAGCAGATCTAAGGCACCGGTATTCTCCACTACAAAGGTTAACTGTGAGCCGAATGTACATGCACCAAATGATTTCATTACCTGTTTCTGCAAGGACATATGTGGCACAGGTTTCATAGGAGAGCAATTTTAAATTATTGTTGGAAAATCCTTAAAGTGCTCCTATTATGTAGTAAAAACTAAACTACAATGTTGGACTTCAGTTGCAGTCACTTGAATTGTGATGGTCTCTAGCTCCCATGTCACTTCATGCCACTGAGAATTCTCAGTTACAGATGCTATGCTAGTCTTTCAAAGTGGTGAAATGAAATGAAATGAAAGAAAGGAAAATGGAATATGCTACTGTGAACAGGGAAATGCCCCATTTTCAAGTGCATGTGCTTTTACTGAACAGTGCCAATAGTCAGTGTGACAAAGTTGAGCTAATATGTTTGGAAACACTTAAGTACACACTGACGAAATTTTGTTAAAGGGTCCAAGAGAAAACTGTTCGAATCTGACTATTCACAGTACCTGAAGCATTGGAATGAAGGTAGCATTTATTTGACTTAACCTTGGTGTATGAACAAAATTTTGCTTACGCAGCACTCAAATGGAAGCTTACGTATAGCTCTGAAAAACAAAAATTTTGAAACAGCTTTGTGCCCACAAATGCAAATTACTGATGAGTAGGAGCAAAGAAGGAACACCAATGTTACATAAACTAAATCCTAGGAGGGCTAGTTCAGAAGTATGATTAATTTAGTGTCCAGAAATAGAATGAAATAAAACCACCACATCATGCCAAAATCTCAGGCTATGTCCACTTTTCTTAAGTATTAAATATAGTCTCTCAAAAGCCATTACCTTCCAAATAAAATTCGTGTCCTAACAGGACTAACAAATAAAACTAGAAAAATATCACCTTGAGACTTTCAATGGGAACAATGATGAAATGTCATATCATTTATCAGATAATCCTGTGTCTATCTGTGGATGTTTTAATTTCTTTGAGAGTGTCTGAAATGGGCATAGTAAAACAATTCATTGCTAATTATCAAATAATATCTTTTGTCTGGAATTCTTAAAAGAGAAATAATATAAACACATTTTCTACATCTTTTCTGTTCTTTCTGAGGGGATGACGTCTTAATATACTTGGTGGAGATATTCCAACTCTTTTCTGGGAAGGATCTATTTTGTTTAAAAGACTTAGGTAAATTAATGTTCTGATTTCCCTTACACAAATGGCATTTTTCATCTATAAGATAAATAGGCCTATTGATTCTGAGGTTTCAATCTGATTAACATATAGAAATTATTCACATTCTTTAAATTTCTTCTCTCTGAAAATCTTTAGTGATAATTTTACATATTGACTCACAATTTTTTTGTCAGGGTTATTGAAATATAATTTACAATATAATTATACTGTATATTTTATATCCTATATAACACATATAATATTTAACACTCACATGCACACATTAGTGTACACTCTCTTTAGTGTACATACTGTAAGTTTTAATATATGCATAAAGTCATATAGCCACTACTAAAATCAAGATATCAGGCTATTTCTCTCACCACAGAATGTTCCCCTGGGCCACTCTATAGAAAACCCTTCCCTGAATCTGTAGCCCTTGGCTAACACTAATTTGTTTTCTATCCCTATAATTTTAAAAATGATGTATACTATCCTATGTGTTCACTGATCACCAATAAGATGAGTTCAAGGATGTCAGAAATGACACTGAAGTTATTTTTGACATTTGGAAAAGACCTTTGCCAACTGTCATGTAAATGGAATCCTAGAATAATTATTAAGTATCTGAGGCTCACCCACACTATTACTTGTATTGGTATATATACAATAACAACTAGCTATTATATGTTATATAAATATATATATTATAGTCAGTTAGACAAGGGTATAACTTGTGGTATTCTTTTATATGAACACCCTGAATAAAGAAAATTACCAAACGTGATTTGTCAGCAGCATATTTCCATATTGTCTTATATTATTACTTTATATTAAATATTATATATTAAATATTTATAATAATTAATTTATATTAAATTAAAAATACAGATGGATATTAATAGAAAACCAACAGCCCTCTTGCCCTTCATGCTCAGCTCTGCCTCACAGTTAATTGTAGTCATGGTGAAATATGTTAACATATATATTCAGAGTTTTTCTCATCATATAGTATTGTCTTTCTACCAGCTTGCTCTCATACATTTTTCCAACATCTGTTTTACTACATGACTGTCTAGCTATCAAGCACCAAAATTTGGCTGCAGTTTCTGAGTTTAACAGAAATCTGCTATTGACCTTTGGATCAGTCTTGGCTGTCGGAAAGCCGAAGTTTGAATGACAACTCCAGGGTCATTTTCGACATCCTTGAACTTGTGTCTTATTGGTGATCAGTGAACACACAGGTTAACACTAAGATCAAGCCTAATCAAACATGAATGAGGAAGGCCATTCAGACCTTTTCTAGTATCTAATTATTTACTTTCAATTTTATGTAAACTCTCTAGACATAATTAGGAGTGAAAATATTCTTAGGTGCTTTAGGTTTTGAAATTCTATCATTCAACTATAGTCCAAATGTTTGTTTATTACTCCAAGTGTGAATTAATGAAGTATGAACACAATTACAAACTCTTAAGTAGTTAAATAAACTAGAAAATAGAGTGACATATGTATGTATGTATGTATGTATGTATGTATGTATGTATGTATGTGTCTGTCTATCTATCTATCTATCTATCTATCTATCTATCTATCTATCTATCTATCTATCATCTAGAGACTGGATAAGCCAAACATTGTAGAAGAATAGCATTTCCTTTTTGAGTCAAAGTTTACAAAGGTTAAGTGATAACTTGAACAATAATAATAAAGCTTAGATCATATCATAATTCAAATTTGTGTAGAATTGTTGGGTAGTCTATTACTCATAATATTAAACAAAATAAACTTATAAAAACTGAATTTAAGTTTTACGTAGATCATATGAGTCTTTCAATGAAAAAAATGTGTCCTCCTAACTGATAAAAATTCCCAAACAGAAGTATAATGTTAACTTTGCCATGTCAAATTACATGACTTTGCCATGTCAAATATACATATACTTTACATGAGAAATCATGTAAAAATATATATATATAAATTATCTTTGATCAGACTTAATACAAAACATGAGGATAAAGAAGAAAGGAGACTTCCATGTCTTTAAATTATCTGGAAAATTTTCAAACTCAATTGCTATTGCTTTTCCTCTTAGAAAAATGTGACACCATCACTTCCTCCTTTTTGAAATACTGAGTTTCACTTACATTTCACTAAACGCTTCTACTTCCTACCCATTTGCCTGGCCACTCTGCTGAATCTCTTTGCTGATTCATATTTACTTTCCTAGCAATTCATTGTGGGGATTTCCATTGTGCTCTTGGTCAGTACTTTTTCCATAGGTGATCTCATTTATCCCCCGTCTTCGAGCGTCTCTCTACTGACAATTCCCAGATTTATTTTTCCCAGGTAGATTTTTCCTTTGGTAGGTACACATGCAGGTTTAACTGCATTTTTGACATTTCTACTAGGATGTCACAAATGCACCTCAAATTGAGCCTTCTTAAACAGCACTGTATAGCTTATCACATAGTCTTCCCAATTCTGATGCTCAATAGTCACTATCCTTCCGGTTACAAAGTTAAAGATTGTAAATTCCTTCTTTGATGTTTCCCCCTAACTCAATCTTAGTCACTAAGACCTGACGACTTCCTCTTCCAAATATATATGTTTTTTCATTTCTGTCTCCTCTCTTGCTCACAGTGGACCTACAACGTACTAACGTCTTTTGCCCAGAAGGTTGCAATACACCCGATTCATCTCCTCCCTGTCTCAAGTTTGT